ACTCGTAAAACGAATAGACAAAACAAACAAACAATAGTGCCGCTTCGTGTACTGTATTTTGTCGTAATACCAAAGTGTTGGCCAGGATTAGTTGTATAAAAAATATTAACCCTTCTTTGTTTTGCTTTATAGGTCTTTGCTACACGATACTCTCAGTCTACCCTGCAAGTAACTTAGCGTGAAGATTAAAAACGTTGTTTAAATAAATATCTGAAAAAAATATAACGGTGCAATATGCAAGCTTGATTTTTTAAATAGAGTATAGACAGATTTCTGATAATTGTAGAAGTTTTAAAGGCCACATGACGTATTATCGACATTGTAAACCAATAGTAGCCATGAGAGTACTCTACTACCCAAAGTTTAACCCTTCTTTGCATAATGGTGGAAATTTCCATCATAACATTGAATGCTTAAAAATTATATAAAAGACCAAGTTCACTTTAAGTTGATCGTATCTGGATACCTTTCTAATGTCCATTGCAGAAAAAAAAAGCTGTAAAATTTATTTTTTAACCATTTTTTCTTTATTTATGAACATGAATTATATCACCTTGATTTATTTCACCAATAAAAAAAAACCATGCAAAGAAGGATTAAGATTTGTCTAGTTTAGGACTAGATATATATGTAATATTTCCAGCCGTACGATTGTACGTTTGACATCTGGTCAGTCGATTAAAACTATTTTGTTTAATTCCGCTATCATCAGTATGCAAATGACAACAATTGAAAATTGCTATTGTCATCAGTGGAAATTCTGTAACTTTTCATATTAGTTATCTATCTCCGACGATTACTCCATCCACGCAAATGTTTCAATACGTATTTTATCTCTAAACTACAAAAATATAATACAATAATGCATACTAATGGTAATGGAAATAAACAAAATAATACTAATCGACTAACTAGTGATATGGACTTCCACAAGAGAATACCAAATTTAATAAAATAGGATAAAGAGTTTCCTAATATTCCATTTCACACCAAAATCTATATGAGTTTATACCCAATTTCATGATTATTAAATCACCAAAGTAACAATAAACAATGCATACTAACGGTAGCGGAATTAAACAAAATAATACTAATCGACTAACTAGTATTATGGACTTCCAAAAGAGAACACCACATTTAATAAAATAGAATAAAGAGTTTCCTAGTATTCCATTTCATACCAAAAACTACATGAGTTTATGCCCAATTTCATGATTATTAAATCACCAAAGTAACAATAAACAATGCATACTAACGGTAGCGGAATTAAACAAAATAATACTAATCGACTAACTAAATATTATGGACTTCCAAAAGAGAACACCACATTTAATAAAATAGGATAAAGAGTTTCCTAATATTCCATTTCACACCAAAAACTACAAGAGCTTAATTTCACGTTGATTAAATCACCAGAGGGAGACTTTGTACAAAAGTCGATTGCTTGGGTACCTCTGTCTCATTTGTGTTTCAACCGTGAAGCAGTTGTGTTTGCATGGCTGTGTTTCAGTTTGAAGGGTGGGATATAGCGTGAATTTACTGGGTACAGAGGAATAACACCTGAGTCCTCAGGAATGGCAACGCATGGGAGGTATCATGGGCGAAACAGTATACTCTGTTATGTCCATAATACTGCTCATATCTATAGGCGACGGTTACCACTTTCCATCAGGTGGGCCGTCAGCTTGTTTGCCATTCTAAGTTGTATAAAAAAAAAACAAATAGTAACAATAAACAAATTTATAATATAAATAAAGAATATTCTAGTATACGACCACCCATATGGTATAGTTTATGGCGTGTTCTCACACTACTTATTACAAGTACTAACGATATTGAATCTTGCCGAGTTTTACAGTAAGATCACGTTGTTAGGGGGACACATAAATCCCCTCTCGTGTTCATACTCGCGCTCGCCGAGCGCGTCGTAAGATATTCGCTACTTTATAGCCGTGTGTGTCACACACACGTAAAACTTACTACGAGTATTTCAATATGTTTACATTGAAGAGACAGTTGAGCGTAGTGTAATTAAAGTGTTAATATGTTTACTACTTGTGTATTCAATTCGTATATAGTATTCGAATATAAGTTTCGAGTACTTGCAATACAACTTTATCATAAGTTTTTCCATTTCTTTACTTTCTTACTTTAGTTTATTACTCTTCTCCATCCAAAAGTTGCTCGGAAGAGATTGCTCTTAGCGATAAGGTCGCCCATTGTTTTCTCATTGTGATTATATCTTGTAATTATTTATATTTATAATAAGTTTACTATTGTAATCTTTTGGAGGAAACAATAAAGAGTATCTATCTATCTATCTACTTTATAAGAGAAATTTAATTAAGAAATTTCTTAATATTCTAAAGAAAATTAACAGCTTAAAATATGAATTAATGGTATCTTTATTTACCTAAATACAGATTATAACAAATAAAAACAAACATACTTTATGTTTAGTATATGTTAATAACTTCCTCAAGAATCGATATTTTGTTGTTCCATTTCTTACGGGGATAACCTGTATATAAAATATAGTGCAGTGTATTCTCGACATTTCTATTCATCTCTATAAACAACAAGTACCACTTACGAATATAGTGAAGGAGGCCATTAGAATTTGTAAATAATTAAGAATGTGTCTCACAAAAATCAACCGACTATTGTAGACGGTTTTTTACATGTCTATATCGTTAATTAATTTAAATCGTTATTATTATTATTATATTATATTATAATAATTATTATTATATTTATAAATTATACCATTATTTTTATTTAAAATCAAAGTACTGAACTGCTTTTGATAACATTTCTATGAGACTATTCTATAAGTATAAAAAAAGATTTATAACCGATATAAGTGGGAGGAAGGGATTGTTAGTAATGGAGACTGAGAATTCCATTGCTAGCAATATACCCAACCAGGTCGACCTCCTCGCGGTTCCTGATGAATTCATCATGATGGGCTAACTGGCCTGTTTTCATTCTCATCTATCACCCTTCACTGGTGCTCCGCCAGCGTATCCCGTTAGCGCAGGCGGGGTTACCACTCCATTTTCCATACCATTTTCACCCATCAAATAAAAACCGATACAAGTATGAGGTAAACATAAAAAATAATTACAACCGAATTAAGAACTTCTTTCTTTTAGAATTCGGTTAAAAAAATACGAATCATGTCATTCTAGTAAACATCCGATATCCGTGTTTCCCGATGGTACAGCGACCTTGTACTTATAAAGAAGTGTTCGTCAGAATTCAGGTAGCGTGTTGGAGGGGCGAACGTAACGTAACGAGTGTGCCGGGTTCGAATCCGGGAAGGGCCCGGCCCGAGATGTGGATATGAGTACGCCCTTCTACGGCTCAGAACCAGTGTAACATTTCACAAATATCTTAACAACATTTTCCCCCGTGCGTTCTCATTAAAAAGTTTTTCTTACAAATACACCAGGCCAGACTGGAAGGTGGAGGTAAGAGAGAAAATTCTATTGTAACTTCGACAATGGTAATGGTAATACATTTTTCTGTATCCAATTAAGCGACTTCCCCGTTTATTTCCAATGTAGGAAGTTCTCAATTCGCCTGAATTTCTTTCGGTTGTGCGTCACGCGATGTTATCTACACGAATTCTGAGACGGATTTTTATAATTCTTATTGCGATCTCTACACGGTTTCCTTCCACATTAGTCCCGTATTAATTTCGTCAGGATTGGATTCGCCGTCTTTTTTTTTGTGTAACAAAATTCTACTTTCATTACCGTTTAATATCTATATGTAGACACATGATTCCGTGACGTAAATTAAAAAAATATATATATGTAAAAGGAATAATATAAAAAAATAATTATATATTTATCATAAAAGTGTGTATAAACACAAAGTTTATCATTGGTTCCTACACTAGCTTCTCGCTAGGCTGTCCCTTTCCCTTAGGTAGCAAACAAGCGTTCGGCCCACCTGATGGTAAGCGATTACCGTAGCCTGTGAACACCTGCAGTAACAGGGGAGGAAGGGATTGTTAGTAATGAGTATATACCCTATCAGGTTGACCTCCGCACGGTTAATAAAAAAAAAACTATAGAAAATATCCTATAGATTAATTATTATACCGGTCAGTCAACGTATTCAAGACACAGAGACGAAGTCGCGAGAAGAACTAGTTATTAAATCAAATATGTTAATCAACACACATATATGTATATACATACATAGGTAAATAGTTCTTAATAATCGATTAATCGTAATAATAGATCGTTTATAGAGGCCAGAGCCAAAGTGGGCGACATAAACGTTTCGGAAATAAGGCAATCACAGCAGCGAGCGGTGCTCGCTTCCCGATCTTACCTTTTATCTCTACCTTTATGATCACACAACTGTTTACAGCGGCCCTACTCGTATAATGTTGTCGAGTGTACATACAAAGAAATTAATTACCACAGCTTGGTTGTTAAGCAAATAATTTTACCAGAGGGAGACTTTGTACAAAAATCGATTGCTTGAGTACCTCTGTCCCATTCGTATTTCAACCGTGAAGCAGTTGTGTTTGCACGGCTGTGTTTCGGTTTGAACGGTAGGATATGGCGTGAATTTACTGGGTACAGAGGAATAACACCTGAGTCCTCAGGAATGGCAACGCATGGGGGGTATCATGGGTGAAACAGTATATTCTGTTATTTTCATGGTACTGCTCATGTCTATAGGCGACGGTTACCACTTTCCATCAGGTGGGCCGTCAGCTTGTTTGCCATTCTAAGTTGTATAAAAAAAAACATTTCTTTTCCAGTAGCGTCACAATTAATTTTATTTGTTTATCATTTATTTTTCTTTGTTTATTTATCTATCGTATTAATTATTAGAAAATAAGAATATAAATAATGATAAATGCTTGCTAAATTAGTAAAATATTAATAAATCTTAAAAACAAAATGTATATTGTGTAAGTGTGTTTTTGTGGTAAGACAGCATGTGTTTGTCTTCCTAGCGGTTTAGTGACATACCTTTTCCATGCAGCTGCTGCCGGTTCTCGGTGCCTTTTAAGCTCTCAGCGGTGTGCAGCAGTTCATCCAGCTGCGGCTTCTTCTGTTCCAGCTCTCGCAGCACCCCCTGCACACACAGATATAACAATGTTTTATTGAACTAGTTGTTCTCTTACAGTTGTCCATATTACTGGTTATTCGAATATAATTATTTTTTTCTTAAACTCGCTATCAATGTTTCATCAGCTGATTACTTTAAACAAGATGTCGCTTCGCGCTAGCGTGACGATGTCACAAATGTTGTTGAACTATTTTGAACAACGTTAATTTAATGTGTATTAAGTATACATAAATAAAAATTATACTCTGCAGAAAAACCGAATTAAACGTTTTATATTTAGTACATGTGAGATTATAATGGTAGTGTAGTTCTTTTTAAATATAAAATTTCGAATAAAATAATAATAAAATAAATTATCAAAATATAAAAAAAAATGGTGAAAATACCATGTAATATGTACATATCTTAGTAGTATTATAAACACGAAAATTTGTGAAAATGAATGTATGTTTATTACTCTTTTACGCAAAAATAACTGACTAGTATTTGAATGAAATTTTGGTGCATAAGTATGTTATATCCTAATATAATATATAAAATACTATATACGTTGATGCATACTCTAATAAATTCAAAATGACAAAACTGTAAATTTTATTATATATATATATAGCTGCGTCGACTAAACGTCATTTTCATTCGACTTAAAGAAATTGCTCTTAGCGTATAAGGCCGCCCATTGTTTTCTTAGTGTAATCTTATGGTGGAAAAATAAAGAGTATCTACCTATCTATCTATCCGATAGTATTCACAAACTTTCTCTTATATATTAGTAGTTATATTTCAAATTACATACTTATATACTTAAATATTAATATTCGGAATAATTTAGCTGTATGCAGGCAACCCTACCGCCAAGATGGACACCACAGTCCCAAACATTGTAAGGAAGTAGAGAATTTCTCATAATATATTACTGTGCATAGTCTAGGGATGTGACATAATCTGTAGAGGCTGTGAAAAGTTTGACGTTTGGGACAATACACATACATACATACGTACATATATACCGCTCGCCCCATTCAATAAACAACACAATAAGACAAACTTGAAACTTCTTACCAACGTTTCCCTTAACTTTGTGTATTCTCTACAAGAATTCATATTCTTAGATTTGCAGACTGACATTTTTGTCATGGGAATTATATAAATAATTCTGAAACAATCTATATCCACATCTTATGGCAAATATTATAAGACGTAAACAGTAATTGTCTCAGCAGGCGTATTAAAATTAGGATTTATCAACCGACTTTAAGAAAGAGGAAGTCCTCAATTCGGTTGAATTTTTTTTATGTTTATCTCATACCTCCATAAGTTTTTTTTTTGATGGGTGAAAATGGAATGGCAGCATCGCCTGCGCTAACGGGATACGCTGGCGGAGCACCAGTGAAAACAGGCTAGTTAGCCCATCATGATGAATTCATCAAAAATTAACCATGATAGTTTCCAGGGGGAACCGCGAGGAGGTCGACCTGGTTAGGTATATTGCTAGCAATGGGATTCTCAGTCTCCATTACTAACAATCCCTTTCCCCCCTACCTCCATAAGTTGAAAACCGACTTGGAAAATCTTTTATTAACTGAAAGAGTATACTTGTAGATTGACCCTATAGAAATTTTATCAAAAACGGATCAGTAGTTTTAAAATTAAAATAACTGTTTTGACGCAATTGAAGTCTGTTTTTTTGTAGTACATAATGTATAAGGTTTCAGAGATGTTTTCTCCCGCCAACGCTCAGGTTATGAAATGAGCTCCCTGTCTAGTATTCTCCAAAAGACTACAGCATGGAGTTCTTCAAAAGGGAGGTAAAGAGGTTTCTTTAGGGTCGGCAACGCGCGCGTAATACCTCTGGTATTGCAGACGTTCATAGGCTACGGTAACCGCTTACCATCAGGTAGGCCGCATGATTATTTGTCATCCCATTGGTATAAGAAAAAAATATAAAAATAAATAAATTTAATAAATACTAGATTGTCTTGTCTAATTATTCAGAATAACATCGGCAGATGTCCGCTCGTCTGGTTTCTCGTAGCACCAGATCTAGCTAAAAGATTTCCCTTTACTAAGATAAGTTACCAAGGCGACCTAGTAATAATGAAGCTCGACAACATTCTACTAAAATAGACTACAACTCAACAAGGCTAAAGAAATTAAATAGGAATATTTATCCCTGGTACCGTTTATAAAATGTTGGAAAATGTTGGACAGGAGGGAAAAAATGTTCGGACACTTGATACGACACGACGAACTTATGAACATTATAATAGAAGGTAAGATAGAAGGATGGAGGGGGAGAGGGAGACCGAGACATAGTTACATCAGGCAGATCAAAGAAGGAGTTGGTGTCGTGTCGTATCAAGAGGTTAAGGGACTCGCTGAAAATCGTAGTGAGCGGCAAGAGCTCCACCGACAGGAGCGCAGCTCTTAAATAGGATAGATAGATAGACTGTTTATAAAGAACAGTTTTAACTGTGTACATATAAATTATGTGGTCTCGGCATAGAATAGGCCACTCCTTCCTTTCTTGTGAATATCATATGAGGAGACTAAAGGAACTTAACGGTAAAGGGATAGGCAGCAGCGTCCCTCTTAAAACATCACTAAAAGCCTAACTACGCTTGCCAAACTGCCTGTCATGCGTGGCAACTACGGGCAAAACTCCCCTTAGGGGGAAAGCTTAGGTTTAGCAATCGACGACTTGATTTCCAATCTAAACTACTAAACCAATTTTAAAAGTCGTTAGCTTGGGCACCTCTGTCCCATTCGTATTTCTATCGTAAAGTAGTTGTGTGTGTAAAGTTGTTGTGTTGTGCATGGCTGTGTTTCGGTTTGGAGGGTGGGATATGACAGTTTATTTACAGGAATCAGAGGAACACTTGAGTTCTCAGGAATGGTAACGCATGGGGAGTATTATGGGCGAAACAGTATACTCTGTTATGTCCATGGTACTGCTCATGTCTATAGGCGACGGTTACCACTTTCCATCAGGTGGGCCGTCAGCTTGTTTGCCATTCTAAGTTGCATAAAAAAAAGTAATAAAATCCTGTATGTCCTTTCAGATAAAAAGAAGTAACTGATTTTAAACAAAAATAAAAATAAATACAATCAAATTGAGAACCTACTTCTTTTGAAGTCGGTCAAAAATTAAACTGAACAGATCATTTTGTATACTAGATAGATATTTGAAACTAAAACTGTCATTAAGTTTATAAGAGACTTTATACCTCTTGACTGGAACAGTGGCAACTGCTAGGCACGAGTGAGGGTGGCGCCCTCTGACGTTAAGAGTGTCTAAGAGGGATCTCACAAAACAGGATAGCTATTTTACGTACACATTTTTTTTTATTTGTTGTAATAATATACTACGCTGTTTCATTCATTCATGAATTTAACACATGTGAGATTAATTGTACGGTATGGTGATAAGTATTGTAGAAACGCGTACTGTGGTAATTAAATAAACTAGTTTTGTAACATATTCGTCTGTCCATAACATACGTCAATACAACTGTTACGGATCCGTGAGAAAAAGGTGCAAAGAAGCTTCAAAATATAGATAGATATACTTTATACAAGTTATATTCACCAGAGGGAGACTTTGTACAAAAGTCGATTGCTTGGGTACCTCTGTCCCATTCGTGTTTCAACCGTCAAGCAGTTGTGTTTACATGACACATTTCGGTTTGAAGGGTGGGATATGGCGTCAATTTACTGGGTACAGAGGAATAACACCTGAGTCTTCACGAATGGCAACTCATGGGGGGTATCATGGGCAAAACAGTATACTCTGTTATGTCCATGGTATTGCTCATGAGTATAGGCGATGGTTACCACTTTCCATCAGGTGGGCCGTCAGCTTGTTTGCCCCTCTAAGTTGCATAAAAATTTAAGAATGTTTGAATAGCAAACATACAAATAACTTTAAAAACTTTCACATCCTGTTAATATCATAAATGCGAAAGTTTATAACGATTTTAGAATGGATATATTAGTTAGTCTCGCAAAAACTACTAAACAGACTTGAATGAAATTTAGTAAACAGGTAGATTATATCCTAATTTAGTACATAGGATAGTTTATACACTGATTCACGCGGACGAAACCGCGGGATACAGCTCGTTTATAATATTGGTAGGATAATATTAATAAGGATTAACTGATCTGTCTATGTATTAGTGTGGATTAATGTCTCTGTCAGTGTGGTATTCACTAATTACGTAATATATACTAGGAGTACCTAGTTAGAGCAGTTACACGGCTGCCGCCCGGGGTGCCGGGCGCGCGCTCAGGCGGTAACTTAAATTATTTAGTTTAATCAAGTGTTATTTTGCGGCACTCCTTCACTGGTATACGCAGACGTAGGTAGATATAGATGTAGCATGTACCACGATATATATATATATATATATATATATATATATATATATATATATATATATATATAAACGGATTAGATTCAAACTAATTCCAATATTACAAAAGTGATTTATTAAAAAAAAATCTCACCGATGTTACGAGTACACAAGTATGTTTTGTTTCACAAAAAAAGCAACGCCTGACGATTTCATAGACAGGCGTTTCATAGACAGAATATATTAAAAATATATTTAAATTTAGAACATATAATCCTGTGTGTACAAGTAGGTTTTGCTTCGCAACAAGCAGCTATTAACTCCACAAAGAAAAACGGCAGCTTTAATTCATAACAAAATTAATATTGAACTAATTTTCTCAGAAAGTAAACACAAACAAACCGAATACTTATATGTTTTCTTTCGTCATTAAAAAGTTACTAAAAATATCAACAATGATTTACATGGGGGAAAAATTACACGTAAATTCTATTTTTTTTAACTACTATGGTGACAAACAAGCATATGGTCTGTCTGATGGTGAACGGAGTTACTGTAGCCTATTGACACCTTTAACACCACGGATATCACGCGCGCATTGCCGATCCTTTAAAAACCTTTTTGCAGAACCCCATTCTATATTCTCTAGGG